CAAATCTTGATGTGAGCAATAGATTAAATGTTTAATTTTAAATTAAATATTTAGTTTATAAATTTTATATACTGTTAATAAATTAAATGATGTTATCGAGAAATTTTTTTTAAACAAATAATTTTTTATGTATTTATTTTAAGAGTTTATAAAAATTTATGTTTGATCATTGAAAATGTGATATTATCTGATTTACAAAAACGTATAAAATTTATACGTTGATATTACATTAAATAAATACTCATTATTATTATTATTATTTATGGAGGAAAGCCTTGGTTAATTGTGTTGGTTTAGAGAGAAATGTTGATGTTCCTTAGTTCATGATATTATAAATTTTCATTTTTATTTTTTTATGGAAATTAGCATCATGAAAAAAAAAAATCTAATTTAAGTCATTTAAAATTTTTATTAGCATTTGAGTTAATTGATAGCCACTGTATATCATGAACAAAGCATAAAGTAATTTCAATTATTAATTCATTCAAAAAAATCTATTAGCATTTGATTTTGACATTAAAAAAGAAAAAAAAATGATTGATCATTACTGATGTATGGACAGATGCCATGCAATCGCTTTTACCAGACAATATCTAAGTATGAACTTAATGGACATCCTAATTCGCTATTAGTTTTTTATTAAAAAAATGATCAGCCAGAATAAATTATGAGATAAAGTCCAAAATTTTCACTCTACTTAAAATAATGAATCAAATTTACTATATATTTTTAAACAATTGTAATTTTACCACTGTTCTTATTATTTTGATTAAAAAATAATTGAAATTCAGAGGTAAAAATATTCTATGAGAAATAATTTTCCCATGCCAAAAATTTTCAATTTTATTCATATTTTTTTTTCTTATTTTTTTTATTCATACATATATATAATGTAAGACAAAAATGTTCTTTTCTTCTATCTGTTTTTTCATGTTAGTTTTTTTATTATAATAAATAATTTTTTATAATAAACTAATAAATAAATAATATTTTCATAATTAAATATTTAATTAAAATAAATAACTACATAAAGAATAAAGTAAATAAACATGCTTTTGATAGTTGAAAGGAATCCATAAATGAAGAAAAGAAGGATCAGCCGCGGTATCTACCTACACCTCTATAGGGACATTCCTATTTAGTTAAACCCATCGTTCTTCAATTTATAGTTCAACTGTTCAATTATTTTGGTCAAGATTTGCTAATTTTAATTTTAAAAATAAACTTGTGCCCTCGAGATTTACTAGGAACCAAATTAAGGCAAGGATCGGGCGGAAAATTACAATCACTTTCAAGTAAATATAAGAAATTAATTAATCAAAAATTGTCAAACCAATCAAACTGGATAATCCAATATCAAATTAAACCAAACTTATGTATTAGTGAAATATAAACTTGAATCTCCTCTTTGCAGTTAAGTCAAGCATTCATTGGCAACAATCCTAAAATACTTAAATCTCAATGTTCAGTTAGTCTTATTATTTTAATCTCAATGTTTAGTTAATCTTATTATTTTCTCCTTTCAACTTTCCTGTTTCTCATCATAAAATTGAGATATTTTAACCAGAAAAATCCAAAATATAGTGCCCGGCCTGCATCCAAAAGGATTGTAAGAACATTCATTTGATATAGTTTCACAGTCTGCTCTTAGAATTTGCAAAATTGTCCAGAAAAGAACAAGTTCGCTCAACACTATACCTTTGTCAAATGTCAAACATATAATCTACAGCCAACCTATCAATTACTATCAACTAGGCTACTCGAGTCTAGAACCATTATGCTCAACAAATGATTCCCAAACTATTAGTTTGGTGATTATCCTTTTAGTTCCCAATTCTTGACTTTGGATTTAAAATTGGAGCAAGGAAAACTCCGAAATACATCAGAAACAAACATTCACCCTTAACCCATCAGGCAAGTATGCACAATCGAAAAGCTACAATTTTCATTTAGACCACAGGATACACCGGAGAACCTGTACCTAAACAGTAAGACAAGAAACACCAAATCATTTGCACTGTTCTATTGTATTATTTGCCATGAATCAAAGCATAACTATATCAGTGGAATTCTTTAGCTATTCAATGGCTGCATGCAACAGCTTCCCGAATATCTGCTAGTTCGTAGATTTCAAACACATCCAAGGTTAGATTGTTAGCAGTTCCTTCTCAATTGGGAATTATAATCTAATTACAGGAACATTGATACATCTGGTTGGTAAGGATGGTTATGACAAAACCTTCTTCGTTCCTATTTTTTCATGTTAACAGCTTTCTGGCTTTTCAATTTGAAGAGGGTGGAAGGTGCCTGTTTTTCCTCCTAGACTCAGAGGGCAAAGAATATGAAGAAAATAAAAACTCCAGTTTCTTCAATCAAATTTGCCTGAATTTTTGGGCCTTTTGGTTTTTGGCAAATGGTCGTTTTAGGCTTAATAAGTTATCTATATTAACTTTTGGTTTTATCTACAATTTTTATTTGGGATTAAAAATTGAATTGGGTGTTTTTAGGTATTGGTTAAAATGAGATTTTCGGCTGAACATCATTATTTTTAATCTAGATAGTAATTTGGGCTTATTGCATGGTTTAGAATTTTGGGTTTAAAAGTGTAATTTATGGCTATACATATATTAGTATATAAGTCCTGTATTTAGTTAGCTTTTAGTATATAAAATTTAAGTGAGAGAAGGTTACTTTATTCCAAGTGAGAGTGTTTGACCCGCTTATAAAAGTTACTGAATGTAATTCTCATTTGATATAACTAGTTATTCCCGATTGTGCAAGGTTACTTTATTCCAAGTGAAGACAGTTACTTTATTCCAAGGTTACTCTAAAGGTTACTTTATTCCAAGTGCAATTACTTTAGAACTAATTATAGCGAATGAGAATGTTGTCACACTAGTTATACCAAGTGTGTAAGGTTGCTTTATCTTAAGGTTATACTGAGTGAGAGTGTGATAACACAAAGATATATAAGATTCATGAATCACGTGTTAAGTGATGGAACTTAAAGGGGGACAAAATATTAGCTTTTAGGGATAGATTGGTAAAAGAAGTTTTTTGAAAACCTGATGAAGATGTATAGATAATATTAAAAAATATTTTTACCAGAATTTAAAAAGTTATTAAAGAGACACTGGACAAATCTAAGGGTTATGCATTATCAAAAAATGAATCTTGGTGGTGGAATGAGGATATAAAAATATCAATTTATTCCAAGATAAGACAGTTACTTTATTCCAAGTGAAGACAGTTACTTTATTCCAAGGTTACTCTAAAGGTTACTTTATTCCAAGTGCAATTACTTTAGAACTAATTATAGCGAATGAGAATGTTGTCACACTAGTTATACCAAGTGTGTAAGGTTGCTTTATCTTAAGGTTATACTGAGTGAGAGTGTGATAACATAAAGATATATAAGATTCATGAATCACGTGTTAAGTGGTGGAACTTAAAGGGGGACAAAATATTAGCTTTTAGGGATAGATTGGTAAAAGAAGTTTTTTAAAAACCTAATGAAGATGTATAGATAATATTAAAAAATATTTTTACCAGAATTTAAAAAGTTATTAAAGAGACACTGGACAAATCTAAGGGTTATGCATTATCAAAAAATGAATCTTGGTGGTGGAATGAAGATATAAAAATGGCAATTTATTCCAAGATAAGACAGTTACTTTATTCCAAGTGAAGACAGTTACTTTATTCCAAGGTTACTCTAAAGGTTACTTTATTCTAAGTGCAATTACTTTAGAACTAATTATAGCGAATGAGAATGTTGTCACACTAGTTATACCAAGTGTGTAAGGTTGCTTTATCTTAAGGTTATACTGAGTGAGAGTGTGATAACACAAAGATATATAAGATTCATGAATCATGTGTTAAGTGGTGGAACTTAAA